TATATATATATATATATATATATATATATATATATGTACATGTATAATTTAAAGAAAAGTAAAATAAATTTCTGCATGCTAATCAGCAAGTTTAATAAAATTTTACCTCTCAATACTGTGAAAATTCTATCAGTATTCTGATAGAAAAAACTGTAGCATTACATAATATAGTTCTTTCTCTGCTCTACCAGTAAGTGAACCATGGGGCAATTACTTACAATGTGGTTAGACTACATTCCAGGCAACAAACAAATATAGTTTCCATTATTCATGTAAGTAATTTTGTGGGTTATTTTGGCATTTTAGGATATAACTGGAGGGAAAGTACTGGTTAATAAGTACTGGTTAAAAACAAGTAACTCTGGACCTCTAAATATTTGTTCAGTCTAAATATAGAAATACAAAATATTTTAAATAGATTTTTTTTGCCCATAACAAACACCATTTTCAATGCCCCTTCTTTTATCCTGAAATAAATGTATTTTTGTTATTTTGTCATTGAAGTTCAGTACTTCTACTACTGCTCAGCATTTGTCAATGGAGATAAACAAAAGCTGTTCTAGCTTCTCAATGAGGATGTATTGCTGTAGCATTTGGTGTTCTGTTGTGATCTGATAAGTTAACTTTACTAAAAAAGTCCATTAGCCCACCAGTGGCCTCAGCCTTCCTAGTCAAAACCAATAACAGAGAGTGTCATCTAAATTGCAGACTACAGAAATTGCTAAAATCTCAAGCCATTTCAAAGGAAAGCAAGCCAAAAAAAGCAGTTATATGGCAGGTAGAGCAAGAAAAGTAACATGCAGGTACAATCATTTGACATTATTTTCTACCCTGATTGTGGTTGTGAGCACTCCTGGGAGAGAACCCAAATTGTCTACAGTATCCAAAGCTCTAGCACATACAGATTCCATTTCTCTTGTGACTTTGTTCTTTGCTGCACTGACCTCTTCTAACACCTTCTCAAGGTGGAGCAGCGGGAAACAGTTTGATCTGATTATAATTTACTTGTGCTTTTTTCTCATTATAATTTACTATCACGCAAAGAAGTCCATATGTGATGGAATATATGCAGGTCTACTTTTACTAAATAACTTTGTCTACTTGTCCAAGCATCATGCAGTGTTGGAGGACCCCCCTTTTTTTGATACAAAGATTTAACCCAGGGGTACTTAACCATTGAGCTGCATCCCCAGTTCTTTTTATTTTTTATTTTAAGACAGGGTTTCACTAAGTTGCTCAGGGCCTCACTAAATTGCTAAGCTTTGACTTGAACTTGTGATCCTCCTGAGTCTGTCTCCCATGTTGCTGGGATTATAGGTATGCACTGCTGTGCCCAGCTAGGTCCACTCATTTTTGCAGCTGCAAAATATTAAATACTCTGCAGTTTCCCTATCCGTATTTTCATAAGTTTATTTACAAAATCTTGTGATCTGTATGTGTTGGTCTGGATTAACTGATTTCACACATTTATTTGTATTAGCCAATCTTGATTCATTCCCCCAAACAGTACTCCAGAATGACCCTTCAATCTTCACTTCTTTTACAGTTTCTCTTTAATTTTTTATCTTTGTATAAAAATTAAGCTATTTGTAATTGATAATCTGTTAACCCAACATCTCATGTAGGATTCAGGTTAACTGACTCATTATAAATATTATTTTAATGCAGATGAACATTATGTTAGTGCCATACTTTGTGTTATCTTCCCCATTTGGTGCTATAAATTCCTGGCTGACTCTGACAGTCTCAAGCTGATTCTAATGACTATCATCATTGTTTCCCTTACATGCTCATTGTTTAGTGTGAACACTGTGCTTATCTTCAGGTTTTTAAAAATACTTTCCCTTTTTGATGTGTTCCTAGATTTTTTTTTTAAAAAGCAACTGTTACTTTTGAAAATAAAATCTTCCTGACCATCTTTATTTTCCTTGCCACAAAATATGGGATTGAATTTCTCAAGAAGACTTCCATTGATGAAGCATGTTTGGTGGTTCTTCTTGTCTCTGGAGACATGAAGGTCACTACAGAGGAACAGCTACTTATATCCTTTAGATGCAGAATGAGATTCCCTATATATAAAACACTCACCAATTCAATAGGAATGAAACCGGAGATCATTATATTTTGTGAAATAAGCAAGACACAAAAAGACAAGTACCACATGGTCTCGCTCATACATCAATTATTACAAGGTTGATCTTATAGAAGTTGAGAGTAGAATAGTTACTAGAGGTTGAGGAGTAAATGAGGGAAAAGGGATGGGGAAAGTTGAAAATGAGTACTAATAAATAGGAGCAGGAGGTTTTGGCATGCTCGAGTATATTTGGGTGACTATAGATAACAAAAAGTTATTGTGTATTTCAAAAAGCTAATAAAAAGAATTTTGAAAATTTTACCACAAACAAATGATAAATATTTGAGGAGGTAGATATATTAAATCTGCTTTAAACATTCCACAATACATATATATCCAAATATTATATTACTCCAATAATGTATACAATTATTCATAGACCCATTAAAAAATTTATTCTTAAAAAGTCACTAATTTATGCTGATGATTTCAATTCACGCTTAGGTTGAGTGAGTTACTCAATTAGTTCTATTAGGAAATTGGTTTTTTTAAAAAAAATTTTAGTTGTAGATGGACAAATATCTTTATTTTATTTATTTATTTTTATGTGGTGCTGAGGATCCAACCCAGTGCCTCATACATGTGAGGCAGGCCCTCTACCACTCGGCTACAACTCCAGCCCAGGAAATTGTTTAAATGTAAATGTTGACCAAAAATTAAATTTCTTTTCCCTCTTTTTTGTTTTCTATCACCCTAATCATCCTGAAGTTGATTACAAAGTGTGAAAGTTTAGATGATTCTTTCTGTCATCATCATCATCTGAGCACATCACCAAAGGCCAGAAAAGAAATTCAAACTCTCCATCACACCTCAGAGATGCATGCACAAAGGTACTTAGAGGTAACATACCAAAATAAACCTAGCCTCAGTTAATAAGATTGGCTTTAGAATCTTGCTCCAGATCTCTCCATTTGACCTCCACTATTTAAATATAAACCCTGCTTTTCCTTTTCCTTTTCTTTTTTTCTAGAGCCAGGCCCATTTCTTTGTCATCAGCAGTTTTAGTGCTGAACTCTGATTTCTATTATCTCAGCGTTTTACTATCCTCCATCTATAAAACCAGCCTGTCAGCATATCTTATTCAATTCTTTCTCTGAATAGTCCTGGAATTCGACCACTTACCACTCAGAGTACTACACCCAGTCTGTTATACTTAGATACCACCATCATCTCTTCTCCAAATTAGTGAATTAGACTCCTAAATAGTTTCCCTGCTTGCAGCCTTGCCTATTTTCATTCTTTCAACCAAAGAATGATCAGCCAAAGAGATCCAATTAAAACTCAGATCATACTGCTCAACTGTGTTGATGGCTACTTCTTGAACTCAGTGTAAAAGTCAAAGTACATTCAAACCCCACAAAGTCTATTACTTTTTTAACTCTATGGCCTCATCCTCTTTTCTTCTTCCTTTCCTTCCTCACTATTTGTTGAACTTGTCAGGTAGACTTCGTGAAATGAAGGTACCAAATGGAAATATTTCTTCTCAGACCCAGACAAAATTAGAGCCAGGAAGTTATGAAGGGGAACGGTTCATAATTTTCTGTCTGAGATAAGAACTTTCTCAAGGACAAAGGCCCAAGAGAGATTTCTTCTCAATATACACATATCCCATGCTTTGTATGCCTCACACATATGAAGAGATTTGTGTAACTAAGTTTAACATTAAGACTACAATAATTCAGAAAGATGCTGTTGACAGGACACTCACCCATCAGTTATGGCTCTGACAACAAATTTACACCAACTCCTGCCTCTGGTCTCCACTACCACCGAAGAACACTGTATCCAAGTAGCTTGCGCAAATATCTCCTTTTAAGTGCCTTTAAAGTCTTCCTCTTGCCTGGATCTCCTTGAATACCTATATAGTTCTCTATGGCACAGGTACTCCCATTGCCTACTCTGCTATTCCCAAATAAATGTCATTATTCTTTGGAGAAGCTCTCTGATTGTTGTTTAGTTTGATAATTTCTATCTCAGGGACTTTGCACTAGCTATGCCATTTGATTTCTCAAGTGTCCTGGATTTACTCCCTCACTGCCTTTAAATCTTAATTTAAAAATCACTTTCTCACTAGACCCTTCTTGGTTACGCTACCTCAACAATCAATTGTTCATTGGATACCTACTCCCCTACTTTATATCCCTTCTCTGCTATATTTTTCTTCTCCCTACATTTACCAATATATAGTATACAGTTTAAGGGCCTGGAGTTGTGGCTCAGTGGTAGAGCACTAGCATGTGTGAAGCACCAGGCTCTATCCTCAGCACCACATATAAAATAAAGGTCCATCAACAACAACAAAAATTTTTTTAAATATACAGTTTATTTCCCTTGCTTCTTATTTCTGTTTGACAAGAATGCAATTTGTATCACAGCAGTGTTTTATAGCTATTTGGGGGCTCTCTGTCCCCCTGCAAGGCCAAGATTAGTGCCTGGCATGTAGTAGATACTTCACAAATACTTATAAAAATGAATGAACGAAGAGCATCAGAAAATGTAACAAATTAATATTGAGAAATATCAAAGAAATATGCCAAATTTAGAAACCACCTAGAAAGTTTTTCGTGCACAATCTACTTTGCAACTTTAACAATAATGATTCTGCTTCACAAGAAACAATTCACCAAAGACAAAAATGCAATTGAATTATAGAACATTCTAGTTATAGTCCTATTCTCATTACATTTCAAAACTTCAACACCATTAAAAGTAATTTCCAGATACTAACGGTGCATCCTCAGAAGTTTTTTTCTCACATTAAAAAAAAAGAGAATTCAGAGAAGTACATTTACAAATGTAACATTCAAAATTTTTGGCATGGGTTACAGCATTATGGCATATGTTCTATTTGTAATTCCCAATCTTGTAGTATATGGTTAAATGTAATTTTAACTAATTTTTTTTTAGTTCCCCAATTATAGTAAACATTTCTTCATTCAAATGTAAAGGTTGGCAATTTTAAATTCCTCATATGGAAATCATTTACAATTTGCCTCTGTAAAGCTTTAAAAATTACCTTACCAAGAAAGTAGATACTGGTTGGGACACAGAGTGTGGAGGGTACTAGACCTCAGAAACCACTACCTCAAGCCAAGGTTCTAAAATGAGCTTATTCAGCCCCAGAAAGAAAATTTCATTTAAAATATTTAGCCATGAAGAACTACTTGATAACCATTATTCTGAGTATATCTTCTGTAAAAATTATACCACCACTCCCATCAAATCTTTTTGTTTTGTTTTAACTGTAGATGAACAATAAGGCCTTTTCCTGAATAAATAGCCTGGGGTGGGGGAGGATTTAAATACCAACCACAGAATTTAGAGATTTAAAAATATAACCCAATTAATAAAGTCCTCTAAGCATTCTTAAAACTATTTCTTTCAGTACATTTGGGAAGTAGGGATCATCCTAGAAATTTTTTTTAAAAAAAAGCATTTATAATCTGACCTTTTAAAAATAATCTAATTAGCAATATTCTCTGGATATTTTATTTTTGAAGAAAAATAGCTTCAAAAGTGCTTTAATGCTCCTTAACTACTCAGATTTCTTGCCAATCTCAGCAACACATTCTTCAAAGTAAGAAAAAGAACAATGTAAGTATTTCAAAAATGATAAAATAATGTTATCTATCATTATGTTCCTCTCTAAGTGAATTAAAGTTCTTAAAAGTAAATAGATTCCAGAAGATGAAAATGGGAACACAGAATTCTTTCTTTAGGGATCAGAATATCAATCTATTTCTATATAAACCATGCTTTGGGCTCTAGTAGGACAATGAGGCCATTCAGATGGGAGGAAAAGATGAAGGGAATTAAAAAGAAAGTTGCAACTTCTTTGTTTAAGTAAAATCCAAATTTCTCTAATTTAGGCAATGGGAGAATCACAATTTGGAAGGGATAACAGGGATTTCTTGGCCTGTCTCTGGCTTCTAGGATTCACCTTGAGGCTTTCTCAATAATTACTGTCACCATTGTGCTGCTTTAATCATTTGATATCCAGGATCAACCACGAACACCTGTCCATCTTTTCCCTTTATACCACCAAGTATAAGAGCATTGCCAAGATTCCAGTGTTTCAAAAGACTTTATACTAATTCTAGAAGAATGCAGAAGAGGAAGTAACTAGATTGCAAGTCTAAGATACAGAATTACAGAATTTGGTTTGCCCTCTGGAGCTTTTAAGCCTTATTCTATTTGCTCAACAGTCCACTATCTGGTTGCCACCTCAGCAGGGTGCATCAAGGACCCACGCTTTTTGCAGTAAAGACTACACCATACAAGAAATGGATTTGTATAGTGCCATACAATATCACTGACGATAACACTAGAGAGACTGCTGGAGTCTATAACATCTTCTGAAAGTCAGTTCTATAAGTCTCAGAACTCTACCATAATTAAGAAAGTCCAGTAGGTCTTAACAGTTGAAACTCATGTGTGATTTGATGGTAAACAAGAAAGTCTATCACTTTGCTTATTTTAGAAACATACAAGCTTAGAAATTTGAATCATTTACATAAATACACAGCCATAATCTTCTATTCAGATAAAAATAGAGTTTAAGTATGCTGCAAGCATTATTGGTGAATATGGGTTTGTAGAAGTAAATTTTGGGGGTAAATTCAATTTTACCCACTAAGCATTGGTTCAGTTTTTAAAACTTTCAAAAGTGTAACCTATACTTGACTTCTTTGGGGATTCTTATGGCTGCTAATCCCTCCCTCTTTTTTTCCTCCTTTGACCTTCATAGAATTTCATTCTTTCCTCTGCAAGAATTCCCTTTTGTACTTCTGACTCTCTGCTGATCCCTTTAAACACTGGCATTTCTTGGAGTTTAATCCCAAGCCCTCATATTATTACATTCTCTCCTTAAAGTAATGACATTTACCATCTTGTTTAGTTATAGCTATCATTATATGCTTGATTTTATGCATTACATAATGATGATGTAATAATGTATATTTTTAGTCCAGACTTCACTTGAGCTTCCAATCTATGTCTCCAATTTACAGCTCATCTCCATGGCTCAGAAGGGATGTGACAGAATCCCTTAAATGATCCAATTAAATTCATTTCATTATCTCCAAACCCTCTCCTCCTCATAGAGTCCTCTATCCTAGTTAGTAGGACCACTATTGTTCTACCCACTCAAGCAATCCAGAGTTTACCCCATCCCTACATATCCCTCTCACACTACATTGTCAGTTTCCAGATACCCTAAATATCTTGTACCCAACCCATTCTTTCTAACTCCAATGTATATGTCCTGTCTTTGTTTTTGGCTATCATTTGTAAAAGAATTGTACTAGAAGCTCTGCCCCCATTCAAAACACATTACCACTGAAGAAATAGTTTCATAGTGCAAACTGGATGTCATTTCCATGCTCAGAATCTTTCTGTGAATATCTATGTTATAATTAGGATGAAGCAAGGTCTTTTTTTTTAACATGTAATACAAAGACCACCATATTCTGACTCCTGGTTACATTTTCTAATTTTCTACTATTTTCCTGCCTCAGTCCTTCTCTCATACATGCTATTTATTCATATTTACTTGGCATTTAGGGAGTATGCTATGCTGTTTCATACTTTTCAGCCAAATTCACACTGTTTTCTCTGGGTTATTATTCTTTGCCCTTAACTACTTACCTTACCCTTTTCTTTACCTAAAAAAAACCCTCCTATTCATCCTTTGAGAGTCCACTTAAATATCCTTCCATGAAGCTTTCTCTAACCATCCTAGGCAGAATCGTTCACTTCTCTAAATTGAATTTACCTCTGAAACACTTAGCATATTCTAAGGCAATTATTTGTTTACAATTCTGTCTTTATTCAATTAAGCTGATTGATGGATGGGATGGTGTCTTGCATATTATCTCTGTATTCCCTCTGCCCAGCACCCATCAGTAGGGAGTATTTAGTAAACATATACTGGCTGGTTTTCTCAATGAATGGTCAGATAGTTCTTACCCTTGGAATGAGATGTACAGAGTGATTATTGTGTTGCTTGGAGTGCTTTACTGTTTATTTCCTGTTTAGGGCTATGTGCCTCACCTTTGACATTGCCAAGATTTTGATTTCTGAATAAGTGGATTGTTACTGTATCATAAGTGGATTGTTACTGTAACTTTAAGGCATATTCTATTTCAACTGTGGACAAAATGGCTGAAACATACTTTTCCATTAACAACTGTGTACCTTTGAGTAAATTAGGTTATATATGTCCCCTTAACAAGGTGTTACTTTTTCCTGATTATATGTCTCTTCAAAATTCTTTGTTGCTCTACTCTCCATTTCCAATATTTTATCTATTTCAAATCTTTTTTGGAACAGAGAATTTTAAAATACAGCATATATATAATTTGTTTAAATTGATACCAGTATTTTTTCCACATTAAAACACATGCACTTTTACTATATTTATCTTTCCATTGCTACAATTGAGTGTTTGCACTGATTTAATTGCCTCAGATTTTAGCAAAAGTATATCTGGCTTTTTTTTTTTTTCACTTTACCTTAAGTAAATCTTTATTTATTTATTTATTTTTGTGGCCTTGTTCATGAAAGGCAAGCACTCTACCAACTGAGCTATATCCCAAGCCCATAATTTTAAGTGAACTGCATTGCAATTGTGGCTATGAGATTTCCAGATTTCTAATCCAAGGATTGTCTTTAAACTTAATTTATCTCATTTCCTGATCTACAACCCCTCTTTTTTCCAGATCATCCTCCCATTGAGGAAGATTGAATTTTCTTTTTTTAGGTAAAATTAATATCTTCTTAAGCTCCAAGCACTTATATCAAAATCAAAGCATTAAATAATCCATATGACAGTAAAAATACAATATATTTTTAAAAATTCATTTGAAAATTATGAAATCACATTACCTGATTAGATTGTGATAATCTTAGGATGGTAGGAAGTTCATCTTTAAACTCATCTATAAGGTCCATAATTACTTTCTGGATCCCCTCCACTAAGAAAAAAAGAGGTTAGGAAAAAAAGTTTTAAAACTATCCCCTAAATGATTCAAAAGAACTTGGAACACTGGGTTCGCCTCCTAAGTGACTGAAAAGAAGAGAACCATAGGGGATCTTATTCTCTGTTGTTCCCACACCCATATTCCCTTTAAAACAAGATTGTGTGTACTTTTTCCAGAACAGTTCTTCAACACATGCCCACATATCCACCCAATGGGTTTGACTGGCATGAAGAGTTCTTGCTGGGGTTTCTAGTGCCTAGCAAGCTTGCAGGCCTGGGCAGGGGATAGCCTTCTACTCAGGAAAGCAGGGGAGGACAGAATCCGCAGGTCCTTGTTGGAATCCATTGTTACTACACAATGGGCATCTGAGAACTTGTTACAGAATCTTCTGAAGTCACCCTGGCAGTGAGAAGAGGAAGAATGTGTTTGGAGGCATGAGGGGAAGAGTGAAGGAATCAAAAACAAAAACAAAAACAACAACAAAAAAAAACACTAAGAAGTTCTACAACTGAAGTTGAATTTTTTCCCAAATTCTTCAGTGATACTTCAATTAATGGATCATCTGAGAACAAAGCTCCTATTGAAAACAGTTGGCATGAGCTTTAAGATGCCAACTGGAAAAGAAACACAAGCAGTTAATTCAGAAAAGTTTCTGTACAGATTGTTTTTCCTTCACTTAAGTAAGGACCACTAGGTCAAAGCCAAGCAAAGCTGTGGAGTCTTTGATGTCTTCTTTATAAGCACAACCTTTTTTTTTTTCTTCATCTTTTACTCAAGACTCTCTCACTTCCACTGATCATTATTTTCCTCTGACCAAACCTAGAAGAACTTGATATCAGGTAGATTTGATTGATCACCTAGTTATATTTTAATGTGGATGAGGTTTTTGAACTAAAAACCTCATTTTAATTTGAAACTTTTATTCTTAACTGTAGTTTGATCATTTTCTTCAGTAAGCATCAAGCTGTGACTCTGGAGGTCTCTTCATGGGAACTGTTTTAGAATAAAATCTTCATCAAGGGATTCTTCTAGCATGCCAGATTCCTGGCTTTCACCTTGTTTCCATCCTCAAACTGCTTGAAAACACTCCACCATACCCCACTCACCTCTCCTAACCAAAATAGACTTTGCTTTCCTCCATCATGACCCTAGTGCTTGAGACAACTATGTCCTTATTAACATTTGGAAAGTAATCCAGTGTCAGAAAGGAAATCTCAAGACAATGACAAGGAACACACATATTGGGAGTCTCTAAGATAATAAAACACTTTCTTTGTCCTATCAGGACCCTTGGCCCTCAGAGTCTATCTCAGAGGTACACCTGTAGTGTCTTATCTCTCTCGTCTTGCTTGTCCTCCACTCCTACCTACCTCCAGTTCCTTTTATCCACCTGCGCACTCCAGTATCATAAGCTCCCAATTGGTTTCACCCATAGAATTAGGTATCCCATAGAATTAGCAAGTGCAAAAGAAAGACATTTCTCAGGCTAATATTTACCACCCCTAAAGCATAACAGAATCTGTGTGTTGTGCTAACAAAGTCCTTCTTGTCTTTCTTTCTTAATGAATCTCTCCCTGGAAAAAAAACAGCAAAAATCAAAAACCAAAACAAAACAACAAGACAAACACTTACATTTGTCCTCATATACTTGTATTAAGAATATAAACTAGCATATTTAGAAAAGCCTGTGCTTGGGGTGGGAGTAGGGTCTCTCGCAGGGCCAGCATTTCCTTCTAATGACCACCCAAAAAAGGAGTGTGCCAGTGAGCCTGCCCTTTCCTTGCCCTGTGAGCAGCAGCTGCCTCAGGAGGCCAAGCAATTCCTGCAGAAGGGCAGTGGAAATACCAAGATGCCTACCATTTGTCTCCTCTTCCTGCATGTGAAGACCTCCACTCCCAGTATAGCCTCCCAGCAGGCCCTGGACAATCCTCAGTAGGTGGGTTGCAGCAGATGACAGCATGTCTTCTCAAAGTACCTCTACAGGGCAATCCCTATAGCAGCAAGGCTGGAAGGGGGTGACTGGAAAGGTTATCACCTCATTCAACAACTGTGTTGTTACATGCTTTTTCTGCAAGCTGACATTCAGAAATAGAGTGGCTCCAATGAAAATGCAGAGCTGAGACAGACAAACTAATGGACAGCCAGAGAACCTGAGCTCTGAGGATCCTGACATCATGGCGGGGGGCATCAGTCAGGTATAGACTCAAACAGCTGCAGGAATGAGGAGTGCAAACCGGTTCAAGCTTCTCTGCATGGACTCCATCCAGGAACACATCTGGGTCCATCAGGAATCTCCTCTTCTCCCACCTTCCAGAGACATCAGAGACTCCCGGGCCTGCTCTTTGTCTTTTCTCTTATGCTTCTGGGATAGCAGAGATGGTACTTAATAAATTCGTTTCTTACAAATTGTATAATAAGGTTGATGTTCCAAGTAATTAAAAAAAAAAATAAAGTTTAAAAGAAGAAGAAGAAGGAGAAAAAGAGGAAGGCCTCAGGGCAAGGGCAGGAGCCCAGAAGCTGTCCAGTCCAAGGCCTGGACTGCTGTGCTTCCCTCTCCTGTTCAGTGTAGGTAAAGACTTGCTCACTTTGAGCCAGTGTAGATGGGAACTCACATGTCTTGAGCCACTGTAGATGAAGACTCACTCCCCTTGACCCAGTGTAGACAACCATTCTCCCCTTGAGCCAGTGTAGATTTGATTCCATTTGAACTGGTTGCTTTGGCCAAAAGGCATCCCTTTCCTGGCCTTCAGGTCCCTCCCTGAGGTGTGTGGAAAGTGTGAACAGCAGCTGTTGAAGAAGACAAATTTCTTGTCAAGATAATTTTAAAACTCCATATCCTGAGGAAGGAAACTAACACTTATGAAAGGCCAATCAAATGCTAGTAACTGTTCTAGGGCCAGGTCTCACCATTTATCTCTTTTAATACACTCTAATGTAGGAATATTTTGAAACAACCTGAAAATACCAAATAATACTGGTACAATTGGTATTAAGAGTACAAATGATCAACCTAGAAATCTATTCCAATGAAAAAATACTCAGTAATAACTTGTACAAAAATGATAGTGGAGGCTTTTCTGGATAGCATAAACTGAAAATAATTCAAATATCAACATTCATCAAATGATGGAAGACTATGGAAAAGCTTTTGTTCATGATGTTTATAAGATGTGAGCTTTTTACAACCTATGCACACAAATTTAAGAAAAATAATATAAATAATAATTTACAAAAAAAGAGTGCAATAATAATTTTGAGTGAGAAAAAACAAAATAAACATGACATTCAGGATAGTGGTCACCAGCTCTGAGGAAGGGATGACAATGAGTTCAGACAATGGCTTGCTGAGGATTCTGAAGGAAATTGTAATGTACTTCTCAAACATAATCATGTACAATGTCAATGTACTATCATTCTTTATATCTTATAATATGTTAAAAATATATGTATCTACTTGATATTTAAGAAAACATTTGAATTAAACAGGCTGATGAGTAAACTGTTATAAAACTTTGGTGAAAAATTATCATTAGAGGTTATTCTAGTAATGATGGTTGACAAAGGTTCCTTGCTTGACCATACGTCAGTCATGCTCCTCAACCTTCTCCCAGGTTCATCAGTGCATTTCACTGGAAATCCAGTTTTAGCAAGAACATTACCAAATCCGTTTAGCAAAAAATTCCCCACTCTCAATATCTAATCATCCTTGACATCTGATCCTCGTATCCTGCATTATGATCCTGAATGAAATCTGCCTTACTGTATTTTGACAAGAGTCACTGAATAACTTCTCCTTTAACACTGCAAGGAATGATGTGTTTCAAACATTTAGTATTTATTGAGGACCTATCATGACAGCACATTTTCAGCACTGGAGATAACAACAGTGAACAAAACAGACAAAATCCAGAAGGTGGGCCCAGTGGCACAAACCTATAATTCCAGCACCCAAGAGCCTGAGGCAGAAGGATCACAAGTTTGAGGCCAGCCTCAGCAATTCAGTGAGATCCTCAGCAACTTAGCCAAACCCTGTATCAAAAAAGAAAACCGTGAAGGGATGGTGATGGAGGTCAGTGGTTAAAGTGCCCTTGGGTTTAATCCCCAGTATGAAAATGAAACAAAAACAAAAAATCCAGACACAATCCCTGTATTGATGCAGTTTATATTCAGTATGGAATAGTGAAATCAAACTACTTATTTGCTAATTCCTATGAACTTAGAAAAACAATTATTTCATTAGTATTTTGAGGTGAATATTTCACATCTGCATTCTATAACATTTGAAAAGATTATATATGATATGAAACATTCCTTGGATTGAAAAATAGATCTCATTTTAGCTTTACAAAATTCTGTGCTATAATGTTTTCAACTGAAATCTATGTTTTAAGCTGAAATCTTTTTTACATCTTACTCATCAAATTCTTCACTGTTCAATAAAGGGTTTTGAGCAGCTCAATATATTCTGAAAGAACCCTCCACCTTGAAAACAGGTGATATCTAATTGAAGCATTTCAAGAAAAGCAAGTGAATGCATATTAAATACATTTAGATAGTTATAATCCACACAGTGCTGTGGCCTTTTGTTAGAAGTCTTAAATTCATCTACTTACACTGTAATCTCTGCAGAGCATGACTATAAATGTTAATTTTGTGTTTTAGTCCTTTCACTTATGATCCTAGAGTGTATAACCTAATTACCTATGCACTGGAGCAAATCTTCCTGGGCCCAACAATGTTCAAACATAATGCATAAGGAACCTGATTGTTCCATGTAATTCCACATAATGATACCAAGACTATTAGGTTCACTCAACTGTGCTAAAAATGAAAATGCTAGAGATGAACATTGCCTTTATTTTGATCTAATACCTCTTTAGAACTAGTCCAGATGAAATGTAAGTTGTCATGTGTGAATTAATCTCAACATACTGTGAGGCTACATTTATTCTCAGGGAATATCAATTGATCCTGTTAAATATGTCTAAATTACTTTGTATACAAATAATTATTACACATGAAAGGTAGCAGAAGATGCCACCCCAAAATATGCCACTTTGACATAAAAGTTATTTTTTTATATTTATTTTTTAGTTGTAGTTGGACACAATACCTTTATTTATTTATTTATTTTTATGTGGTGTGAAGATTGAACCCAGGACCCTGCACTTGCTAGGCAAGCACTCTACTGCTGAGCCACAACCCCACTCCAACATAAAAATTATTTT